TCCTGTAAAAGGAAACGCGAGGAACGCCACTAACGGTTTACCCCAGACACCTCGGTCCCCTTTGACGGCGGCATCTGTCTAATGAGGGTGCACGGGGAGTTCCTGTGAAGCCAGACATAACGGCGCTTTGATATCAGGAGGTTTGCAACTTTTCAAGGAGACACCATGCGCAATGAGGATGAAAAAGCTTGAACGCTGAAGTGTCTGGGACGTCGAAAAAATGTCTGTTAGTGTAATGTCATTCTGCCAATCTATATCCAGATGCTTCATCTGTTATTCAATATACACAAATCTAAGTGAGGCTTTGCATGGAGAGCACCGTGACTGCGTGCTTCTAGTCGATATTTCTTTGTCTATTTTCCACAGTACAAGCCAAGCAGTTGGCTCCAACCAATGACTCTATATGGTGTGACTGAGAGCTTAATGAGGGAACTTGTGGTCTTACTCCATTTAAGATCATCAATATTGCAACACCTCTTCGGTGTGCATTGGACTTCTTTTCTAGTGATTATAGCCATTATATGACATGGGGCAGGTTTAGCATCTTCAGAATGCAGGGAGAAGGTTTAAAGCCCTGGCTCTTGGCAATAATAAAATGTATAGGATTAATAGTGTTTTCACTGCAATAACAAAGTAAATAAAATATTTAGCCACTGCTGTATATGTAATTCCAAATAGCCTACAGCCATAGCAAATTATGAAACAGTGGCCCCCAGGACATTTAAAAGCCCCACCCATCCTACACAGATAAGAGACGTCCAGACTGTAAGAGACGAAACATCAACTGAAGATGTTTGTTCTAGTCATTTCTTGTATTTTTGAGGTCATTATCTGTCTCTCTGTATTCGTTTTGTGTCTCTTTGTTGTCGTTTGATTGACCTTCCAACAAGAAATGTTAACTGTTACCTCATACAGAGGTTTCGGTCCGGCGGCCTGGGCCTAGTTGGCCTGATCGGTTATCTATCAATGATACTATTAAAGGACCAGTGCGTAGCATTAAGGGGGATCTACTGGCAGGAAGGAAATATGATATTATTTTGATATTATAATCACCTGAAAAAAATAAATGTGTTTTCGTTACCTTAGAACAAGTCTTTTATCTATACACGGAGTGGGTGTTCTTCATAGGGCTGGCCGCCATGTTGCTACAGTAGCCCAGAGTGGACAAACCATACACTGGCTCTTGATTGGGCCATCTTTTTTTTACGTTTTTTGTCACGTCTTTAACCTCACCGCTAGATGCGGCCAGATCCTACACACTGGCCCTTTAAGCAAACTACTTAAAACCTTCTGGTTCTGCTAGGGGCGGGACTTGGGGAGGCCATTGATAATCTGAACACGCACCTGTATATGCCTACAGCTGTATGGACACCGAAAGTGTTCAATAGTATAAATAATCACAATAATATGTCAAATATATGTAGGAAATGAATTGGCAAAATTCAACTCATTATTCTGCAATTGTTTTTTTTGTTATTATATATTCATTACCCTTATTTATCCTAAGAGTTTTATGGAGTTCTTTTTTTATTTAATGTGAATTTTCATTTAAAATTTTCAATCAAATATGCCCTTTTTAAAAGGGGCGTTTCATAATGGCACGTATGGTGACATGCTACTTAATTAGCCGTCTAAGTAGCTAGTCGGGGTTGTGAGCTAGGTGTATTATTCAGCATCAAAACAAAAAGACGGTGTTTACAGGAGCAGCCAACGTTTACCGGTTCATTCAGTCACTCCTGCCACATTTTGAATCTAAAGATGTCCTTCAGAGAACGACACACAACACTGTGAAGAGCAGAAAGACAGAAAGTCTTTCTCTGTGCGAACTCAAGCCAACAGGAGCTAGCTAACACGGCTAACACTGGATTCCATACGGCTGTAGTCCCTGCAGCTCACGAAGATAAATATTTGCTGTCCATTCTGAATTATTGCAAATTACAGGGCCGAGATAAATTTGAGAAATAATGATGCTTCGATGGTACACAAATTGTTGCCATATAGAACCTCAAGGGCAGCAGATCCCATGGTTGACAGCATGGAACCAGCTCTGCAAAGCCCACGCGCTTCTGCCCAGGAAATACATTGTGGCTGAGTGATTTCTGAGGCTTTGCCTCGAAATCCATCACGCAGTTTGGGGAGGGCAAGGTCACCTTGCAAACTGATGAAAATGCTTTTGTTAAATTGATTAATAGTTCAAACGTAAGGATTGTGGTTGATGGAATGTTGCATTATGTATGACCATGCTAATATCCCTAGCAAGCTCCACTGGCTCTGTGGTCGAACGTTAAACGTTGCAGCCAAAACGCTCCAAAGACGTACTTCTTACTTGGGGAAATATCTTCTTCTCTGCATATGCAGCAGCTCGTAACTCCCTGAATATGAATAACTGATCGCGCTCTTGACCCTTTGAGGGCTCAAGAGATCACTGGACAAATGCATGAATGCTTCGGTTTCAGGGTGTGCGCCTTTCATCTGGATTCCACTGGTGACCCAGGTCTAAGTGATGGAACTCGGAGAACACAGCACCACATAAATCATGCATAAAACATGCGCATGGCCATGTAACCCCGGGTGGAATGCAGCAGCAGATGAATGAGGGCTCAGGTGGACGTGACATGTACCAGGATTCAAATGAGACAGGAAAAGATATAAAGGAGAGATTCATCACCTGTCATTGGAGGAAAAGGTTGAGAGCACCATGGCCTTCAAGTTAGCGGCCTCGTCTTTTTCACCTGTCCATTCCTCTTTGCATAAAGAATGATGGGGGAATGGGTCCCCTGGTGGATCTTCAAGGATCTTCAGAAGATATTAAGCCCATAACACGAGACGGGGACGGCAAGACATGGCAGGTGTCATCGTCTCTGGACGTGAATTTTTATTTCTTTTTGGACTGTTAAAAAAGCAGCAGCAAGATCTCAATAGTCACACGACCATACTGTATTTTTCTATTACAAATGAAGTTTTATCAGTTCCATTTTTAGCTCCATACAACAAAATGACAATTACTATTTGTGTGAGTAACAGTTAGCAAAACAAATTGTATTTCAAGAATATGTAGTAGGAGGTGGAATTGTTGGAAAGAAAAAGAAATCAAATATTACAGTACAAATCTGAAAAATGTAGGTATGGTATTGTTACAGAAATGTGTTATTTCTGCTTTTCTACTTTGTTACTCAATTTGTGACCACAGATTTACCTTGTGACCCTTTTGCGAGACACTTTCTTGAGAGATAAACTGGCTAATATCTGTTAATGGTAAACGTTGTGTGCCATGATAAATAATTATATCATTAATATAATGTGACATCAAAATAATAAACAAAAATGATAATTTAAAAACATATCTTCATATCTTTTCCAAGAGTTGTTTTTCTTCCTTACCAGTGTTTGTGGCACAGTAATACACACAATAGAGACAGCTAGGGAACACTGGCTGACAGACAGGGAGGCATGAACAAAAGTGCCAGGACACATGGCTTTGACCTTTTAGATGTTTTTAGCACCCCTGTGCAACTGTCAGTGAAAATGAGTAAAAAACACAACACAGAGTGTGAATGAGGTCGCTACAATGTCAGTTCCTCTGACTGTAAAACTATTTCTGATCAAAATACTTTTTTTTTTAATGTATTTTTATTTCCAATTCTCATTACACTGTATGTACATTGCACATCTTAAACACTGGATGTCGACTGTGAATGGCACAGAAACCAGTCATTTACCAATTCTGCCTTTTCTGTTTGTTACATCTGGATATTAGACCGATTTACATCTTACGTTTACATTGCTATGGTTATCTTTTAAGTGCCATGGACAAACAACATTATTTACAGATTCACACATAACATCATAATATATTTTAAGTGGACACTTAGTCCATGTGTTCGAGTTAAAAAGTGTTGAATCAACGTAGTTTTTGTAATATGTGGGCACACCAAAAAAGGATTGTAATTTAAAATGTTAAACTGTTTGTTGCATATTTGTTTCGACAGAAATGTAGTTTTTATGGCTCTTTGGGGTTTTGTGGTCTAGAAAACATACATTGATATAGTTTGGCCTCTGGCTCCTTGTCAATACATGGCCCACAGTAAAAAGTTTGGTCAACCCTGATTTAACTTAAGAATAGAATGCCTCCAGAGTATCTCTGCCTCTTTGAAATGCATGCTGCCGCTCCATTCTAAGACCTCAATGATCCCCATGATGAATTCCTCCTCTTGGTTTTCTCCTCTTCCGCTATGGTCAGGGGTCAGGGGTCAGCTAGAGAGCATGCAGCCTCCCTGGAAGGGGAAGCTTAATACATCCAGGGGCAGAAGGGATTTCTCTGCACTTTAAGCATGCTTCAGTTGAACAGCCCGTGCCACTCTTTATGCAACCTCATCAGAACCGAGTGGCAACGGTTACGGGCACACATGTGAGGTAAGATCGGATCAGCTGCTGCCTGACTGACCGCCCTTCGCGCCCCTTGGGGTGTTTCGGACGAGTGTTCCCAGCGCGCCCACGCTGAGGCCCGGGGAGGGTTGTCGAGCTCCATCCATCAGAGGAGAACACCTTGGCACAAAGCTCCTCCGCCCTGACTTGTAGCCCTGAAGCCTCCTTTTAGAGCGACCCGTGTTTCTCTGCGACGCTGACTGAAAGTGTAATAGCTTCAAGTGCTGCTGTGAAGCGTTCAGCAGGATTATAATGTCACTTGATTTCTTCAAGGAACCAAAATAGAGACATAATGATAATAAACTTAATGTGTAGTGTGCCAATATGCATCATTCTCCTGTATGATCTCTTTGATTGTTGTGCGTATACACTAAATCTCTTTGTCTCGTGTGAAGAGGTTCTTAAAAAGTAGTTGGGGCACAAAACCCTCATGCTGTAATGAAAGATGAATTGATGCAAAGCCGACATCATCACATCACGACGGACATGTCGGATATTCATCTCGGGCAGCTTTGGAGACTCCAAATCAGCTGCGAGTCCACGGCGTGCGTCATTGCGCAGCGGCGCGTCCAGCCCACAGTGGTTAATGGGAATCCGCTTACGGAGCACAACCAGTTGTTCGCGCGGGCACGTGTATGCGCGGTTCAGCAGGTAGCCGTCTCCGACAAAAACTGGATGGAAAGTCACGTTTGCGACCACACCGATCTGACGGGAAATTGTCTTACGGCATACGGACTGTTATTTCCAGGATGCGCTGACATCTGTGACGTGCTCACGGCGATCCGCAGTTCCAGGTAAAGTTCGGATTCTAACTCCATAACCCTGGCTGACTTTCTTTTTCTTTGTATTTTGTTTTGAACGGTGGATGGCACCTGCTCGCGTTTGCTGCGCCTCGAATTTTGGAGTGTCTTCTCGTGCGCCTTTTCTCACCAGCGCGCCTTTGAATAGCGGATACAGGCTGGACAGGGAAAAAGTCTGATGATTCCAACTTTGAAGTATTGGGTGATACTTATCTTATTATTAAATCCGGAAATATTCTAAAATCCTTTCGAAAAAGGTTCGTGCGTAGTCATGACTTGGTGTTACTTAACAGCCAAACATGGTTTGCCTGTATGTGTGTGTGTGTGTGTGTAGCTCTCTCCTAAATTCTACTGCTTTCAATTAAGTCTGCCTGTGTGAGCTGTTGTTGGTGCAGCAGCACATACATGATGCTCTCTCTCTCGATGTGAACGAGGGCGAGAGGGTTAACGAGTCTTTGCTTAACACTTTATTCTGTGATTGATTTCCCCACCATTAATTACTTATTTTTTTGGGGGGGTTGAGCTCAGTTTATAATAGGAGCAACATTTAACTATTTCAATGTTGCAGCCTTTAATTGGGCACAGGGGTGATTTTCTTAAGGATGACAGTTATTTAGGTGATGGTCAGGGCTGAGTTTAATGGAGACCCTCGGGCTGATGCAGAGACATTCATGCAGAATGAATCGGGGTTAAACCACACAGCCTGCAGACATCCACAAACCAGTCTAACCTATTTTAGGTAGCTCTTATCAATGGGGACGTCTACTGTGGCCAATCTTCAGCCAGCGGCTCTGCATCAGATAAAGACAGTTAAGCTGTCATGTCGACATACACACACACTAATGCTCCCAGGGATGCCTCCGTTCCACTGCGATAAAAAAAAACTAATCAAAATCAGGACCGATGCTCCGTGATGCCTCGAGACGACTCTCTCCCTCCTCCATATCCTTCTCTATTCCCCCCCCTCCGTATCCTTCTCTATCTTCTCAAACTAGATTTACCTCAGTGACGACGCCTGCAATCAGCGCAATGGGCACAGATTGTGAAGGCACGCTTAATTGGTGCAGATTTTTTTTTGTTTGTTCACTCACTGGGTATAAACTGCCAGCTGCCCATTCAGATTTGTGTATAGGCCGGCTGGCGCACAAGAAGGAAGGGAGAGGAGAGAGATTTACGTGTGTGGAGATAAAGCAGAAGTCTCTCAGTTATCATCAAAACTCCAGAGCCCTATTTTCTCTCCCCCTCAGATGGACAGCATGCAAGAATAAAAAAACAAACAACAGTAAATTGGCTGGAGTGGCTAGTGCCTCATTGGATATGTGACAGCGTTGTCCTCCTCGTTAGTCGTCTCTCTCTGTATTGATTTTCCTTCCTCTCAGTTTGCTTCTTCTACCTGCTTATTGACTGCTTTCTGTGGTCTTTCGAGCTTTAATGAGAGCATTGCCTTCCACTGGAAGAACGATCCATTTGGAGCACGTCCCTTACGTCAGGTGGCAGACCTTATGACCCCACTTTCTGATATGTTTTATTCATCAACTCAAAGCACTTCTAGACTCATCAGGTTAGTTTGCGGTGCAGGTGCATCGGGCCAGCAGTTGCGTCCCTATCTTGGTTTTTGTCTCACCAGATCTTGCCTCGACTCAGTGGCACAGTGTCATGTGTCATGGGTAATATAATCTGATGGCCCGAGTCCTGGTACTGTCCATTCTCGAGCTGTCACAGTGTCCAGATGTGTCTTCAGATCAACTGGTTCCCCTCAGGCTTTTCTTTTTTTCTTCTTTTTTCCAAGGATTGCTAGTAATTACATGTGAAATGTGGCCAAAGCCCAGAGGTGTGGTCTAGAAGGAACAGATGCTCTCAAGCAGTTCCGTACAGTATGTTCTAGTCTATTGTGAATGAGTCCGGTATATCTTCATTTCTCATTATTTCTCAGAACCCTCAATGTTGCCAATAGAAACACAGGATTCTCCTGGATGACGTAACAACCCTGTAGGCTAATGTTATAGCATTAGAATTATTTCAACCAAGGTTGTGATTGCCAGAATACACGATGAAGAAGGGTGTCTTGCCAAATTGGAGTGCCGTCTTTCCTTTTTTAACTTCGTCTCTAAAGTTTTGTCCGTCATGTTATACTACAATACCCATGATCCTTGGATGCTGTTGCTATGAAGAAAAAAAGCCAGATTTACTGTAGCAAACCTGTTTCCTACAAAATTACATTCCCGTACAACTAAAATGCATTCTCAATTATGTTTCGAGAGAAACTATTTTTCTCCCATTCGTCCAAACTTTGCTCAGAATCCAAAAGTGATATAATTTTATATGCGGATCGCTGTCGTAAATCTCAACAGTGTAACCTTTAGCTCCACCTCGCCCTCAGTGGCACACAGAATTTGCAGCTCTGTGATTTTTCTTAAGGCAATGCACCGTGGGAGTGGTAGTTAACCTCTCTCCCAAAGAGTTTAGGTACACAAGCTTGTTCCTTTTAAATTTTTCATCAAAGAATCAGAAATGTTCTAATGTAGATGTTGATCTTTCTGCTGAGGAGAGTTTCACTGTCCATTTGAAATACGGAAGTGTGTCAACTGTTATGTAACATGGTCTATGGGGAAAAATGAATGGGACTTTACTTCTGGAACCAAGGGCGCTCAAAGAAACAAGTTTGCGATTCATTGCGTTCATTAGTGCGCTTTTCATGTGGACCCCTAACCTCCTGGCTGTAGCTATTTACCATACGAACATACATCAGAGCGATAACATTCTTCCAATCATTCTCGGCAAGAAGGCAAATACCACCAAGGGTATTTCTTAAAAACTATTCCTTTAAACACAATCCCTACTTTATCATTATAACCTCCATTTTTATGACTTTTCCATCTCGTCCGATTCCTCCTCCCCATCGTCCTCACCACTGCTGTAATTGCACGCCTGCAGATCTCCTCCCCGTACAGTATGTTTGAGGGGCAACACTGCTGACTCATCCCAATAATAATGCAGAGTGATGGACACCAGAGACGTGTCTGAGATGATGAGAAGTAGAAGTCACTCAGAGCATTGCATCGAGACTTCTAAACCCACAGATGAAACAGGGGAGGAGAGGCCTCCGCCTAGACTAAGTCCACAGGGCCCCTAATGTTCCTGAGAGACATTGCCTTTGTGTGTTAGAAAGGGAGAGGAAGAGACAGAGCAAGGAAGAGAAAGAGACTGAGAGGGTCTCTGTCGGGAGTTCTGAGGAGTACTCAGAGTAAAGTCACTTTTACATAATAAGAAATGTTGGTTAGACATGTGGCAAGAACCTTAAAGACTCAACATTGAAAACCTCACTAAGATCATTTGATGACAGACATGAAGATATTCTATGAGGATAGTCTACAAGACAGTGAAATACTCCATTACTCTATTCCATCACTCTCACATTAGCGATTCTTTTTTACTCCGATGTACTTGTGGAATTTTGAAGGAAATCCAATATAATTGAACTGGATTGAAGTTTGAGAGCTGGGAAGAATGCTTCAATATCATGTGTGTATGAAGCATACTGGCTGAAATGTCATCAGACTCGTATATTTAGGTTCTGACCTAAAGCTGTTAGGGCAGAGATGGGGCTGGGCCGATGCTGGTAGAGGAGACCAGATAATAATGTGCTCAAAATATATCACTTGCTAAGGCAGAGAAGGCTCCTATACGAGAGCGCTGTTATCAGATTGATGCTCAGCATTAGCTAATTCCCTGAGTTGAGCTATCAAAATCAGTGTGGGAAATATATTTTCTGTTTTTAAATGATGTATTTTACTATTGCACTATGTTAATGGTCACACACAAATCACCGAGCCAAATTCCTTGTATGTGTACTTGGCAATAAACCGTTTCTGATTCTGATTCAGTTGGATTTGTGCATCCCAAGGGATTTGTGAAAGCCGGGACTGAAGGTGACAAACAAGGCCGATAGAAAAATATGTAGCCAGGAACACAATTTCCTAATTAGTAAGCTACTTATAGATGATTCATAATATTTTCATTCTGCCATTTTAATAAATGCCTGAATTCGAAGTGAAGATGTATACACTCATTTTGCTTAAAAATAAATGAGAACCCACTCTAAATGTTGTTGCTTTAATAAATCTGTAAAGAGGCCTTTTTCACAGCGAAATTTTTGATTTGTCACAGCAAGAATATAGTACCTAATAACATGAATGGTGTCCCTGTAAAGCTAGTGAGGCAGCGTCCTCAACAGCAGGGCCAAACTGTAGTGGACTGCAGGCATCATTAATTGAACCCATTACACCTGTGCCTCTCCAGCTATAACATGTCAAAATGTCTGCTGGGAAAAAGACCTGTTACAGCTATGCAGCACTACTGCTACTCACCTAAACTACTTAGTGTATTTTATGCAGCTATTAGTGAAAGGAACAGATGGTGAGAGGAACACGGAAGCTATATTTACCTATTGGGTAATTCTTTAAAATAGTTTTATTTTTTATCATGTTAAGCTAACGTTAGCTGAAATATTTCAGCAAACAAATGCAGCTGCGTTGTAACATGTGGCATGCTAACATAACTAGCTTTTAGCTGTACAAAGTACGTTAGCATGTAGCATACAAGGATGGCTAGCTGACCAGACACCATGTTTGTAGCAGAAAATTATTTTATTTTTCCTGTTGTGTACACTTTGGTTAGCTAGCCAAAATTATACATGGTGCAAAACTTTTTGTATGTTGTCATTTTGTCTTGTCTTTCATCAAAACCATGAAATAAAACAAAAAAGCTTTTCTTGCATGGAACGCCACTACAACAAGAAAAAAAAAGTAATTATTATCTCATCTAAGTATGGCGTCTGGTTAGCTGTCCCTCACTTACTTGTTTACATGAGTAAACAATGTTAAGGTATCTTGAAAATTAAAGAAAAATGAGAATAACTGGGGGAAGGTGTGCGTTTGGGTATTAGCTAGCAGCTCGGAGGCCACAAAGATTGACATGCTACTGACGTGACTCATCCACTCTGCCAAGAATAAGTACCTTGAGAGAGCGACAAAAGGAGAGAAAAGCCAGAGAATTAGATGGAATGACTCAGTTCTGCCTGACATCTTTTTATATTTCCTACTGCCCTTTTCAAGTCAGCTTAAAATCAAACTGCCAGCGGTCGGAGTCACAGCTGAAAGACAGGCTTCACTTCGACGGGCTGTTAGCCGTCCTCCCGCGTTGGAGAGTCCTTCACTTCATCATGATGGTCACCGAGCTCGGGCTGATGCCAGATCAGATTTAAGAGAAAAACATGGGCTGAAGAGTGGAGATGTCTGTGCGTTATCTGGAGCACTGCCTAACCTTGGGGCGCTGATAAAATCCCTGCCTCATCTCATAAAATAACAAGTAAGCAAATATGTTGGTGCTTTGAAGATTAGGGTTAAAACAGCCGTAGTCAAGAGCCAGCTTTCTATGTGCACGGTTTCTCATCCAAATGTGTTTACAAAGGTGCTGTGGTCCGAGGTTCTGTACCCCGAATGTGAAATAAGACCAGGAAGGCTTGTCTGAAATCTGTGTGTAATTTATTTACTTTCTTTATAGATTAAAACGTTATCCACAGACAGTGACAGATGAGTTCAATTACACATGGTAGTGACAAAACCAAAAATAAATGATAGTGTTGTTTTTTTTCTCATTTACTGTCCACCAGATCTTCTCACTGAGTAACTGGGGCATATACACAAACGATCATATGTCTGATCATTTTTATGATGGCAGTCACAATCTTTGTGACAAGAGGAGCTTTGAGGAGGGAACTTTGTCTTTATATTTGTCTTCACATTGAGTTGTACACAGAGTCCAGATCTCAAGCTGGTTGCATGGATTCTGTTAATTTGCGTAATTTCCCCCATGCAGTTTTCCATATTATTGCTCTGGAGTTGAAGCTAATTTGGATCAATATGTGGTGAGTGATGCTGGAGCATTCAAATTGTTGGTTCACATGTTGCAAAAAGCACGCCTCTAGCAGCAGATCAAAATAATCCATGTTGCTTATATTGTACATAGCATTGCATCTTTTTCAATCAGTTGGTTTGTATTTTTAAATCTTGTACCATTGTTTTAGACTAGCAATCTTTTACTCTGTCAAAACTATCCTCTTCCCTTCCTAGAATATATAGCGATATACGAGGCAGTCAAGCATTTGCATTGAATGAATCTGCGTAACCAATTAGTTTTGTCACTTAAACTAAGTCGTTTTTTGTTTTATTTCAATTTACAATGTTCACCATGTGTTACAAACTGTTTAAAATGGCAGCCAGTATCTGGGAGGAAATACGTAATTGAGAGTGCAATTTAGGTGTATGGGAGCGTCATTTTGCAGGAGACAGGGTTGCCAGGTTATGCACTGACTGAATTGCTTCCATATGCGAGTGGGCGTCATTTGAGTCCTTTTTAATGCTTTGCCAGGCTGCATGTATAATCATTTATAATGGCAGTCTACAGTGGGGGTCCAAGCACAAAGTGCTGGTGAAGATGAATACACGTAATTAAGTATTAAACGTACAAATCAGCACCTTGTAAATAATATTTGCTGGAGCAGGAACAAATCTGAATGTATTTTGTATCAGGAAATGTTACGCGTTTAAAAAAATGCTGAAAAGCACTTTCCCACTAGTTCCCCTTGTTTGAGTTCATACCGTCTCCAGTGCATTGGTCCAAAGGTAACACATTTATATTTGTTTTTTTGACACCCTTCATTGAGCTGTGATCACTCAGAAGTGGTGCACTCTGGGGTGTAAGTGGAGCACGCTCAGTCATTTGCTCAGTCTTTGTGTGAGTGGCAAGTCAGCGAGGAAACCGACGCAGTGGAAATATGAGGATTTCACTTTTTTTTTTTCTTGCTGATGTACAGCATTGCAAAAATATTGCTTCAGCAGCAGCTGTGAATTTGGAAAGAGTTCAAACGAGTTCACATGATGGTGATCACTTTTCTGGACTAACAGGCACGGCACGTAGCCTACTGATGGGCTGATTCCTCACATGAATGATTATTTCCAATGCTAAGCTCTCACAAGGGGAAACAAATAAAGATATATAAATTGCACACTAATGCTAAACTTTGTCATAGCTGAAGGCATTTAACCAAGAAACTGAAGGGGACGATAGATGCCTGACTTCTTGTTCATTTCTTAGTTTTAGTGCTCCTTGTATATATATATATATATATATATATATATATATATATATATATGTTATATAATGCACGGCTGTTGAATGAGCTTATCTGCAGCGTTTGAAACCTTTAACCATTCGTGCTGCACTTCTTCAGGGATGTCATTAACTGCAGTCCGTTTGACTGTGACAAAGTTGGCAGTAAAGGCAGAAACAGAATGTTGCTCAGTACGAGTCCTAATTGTGTGCAGAGCCGTAGCCCTGACAATTATTGTTCTGGAAAAACAAAACAAAAACAACGTATTGTGTGGTTTGCATCTGTCCAAAGCAGCTTAGACTGTGCCGTGATTACATAACGATATTATAGGCTTGGTGGATAAGTCCATTGTCAGTTGTCAGTGACAATGCCATGTCTTAGAACCACACACTGCGTATTATGTAACCACAGAGGCACCGTGACCACCGACGGGTCTTACTGTATTTCAGGCCCACGCCACTGTAAAGTCACTTTTATAATGCCACAGCCGCAGAAGTTCGCTTTCAACTTCACATTAAATATTTTCGCAGCCCAGCTTGCCGTCCACATTAGTCGGGTCTCATTCTGGTCTCTGAAGGTTTTCTGTCCACTTTCATCTTAAAAAAGGGAAGAAGGAGAGAAAGAGAGGGAGAAGGGGGGGAGAGAGAGAGCATGGAGATGTAGGCGACAAGATAACTCTCTTTGAAGGAAATGCAATATGCTTTATTACTTTTGAAGCTTGCAGTGCCAGACTTTTGGTAAAGTCTGTAACAAGAGGTCATTGTGCTGCTGAGAGAATGGGCCTCGAGCAAAGACACCCAAACAAGGAGCAGCGATAACACCATCGTTACCTGGCTGACAACATCAATATTTGTGGAACTGTAGAAATAAAAAAGGGGGCCACAGGCCATCTGTGATGTGTGCCTTCATAAAGTAGATTCAGGTTGAAAAAGGGGGAAGATGTAGGAGTCACTACTATCTTACATTCATGCTGAAATGCATCAACCCATGTTATGTTTCAAAAGGAGCAAAATTTCCTGAATCTACCATCGTCTCTTGCGCCTCTCTAAATTTTAACGTTGTTGTTGTCCTCTGTGTGCTTTTTTTTTTTTTCATGGCAGATAAACTCCACCTGCTCGTCTCCTCTCCACCAGCAGCCATGTCTCTCTCTGTATCTGGAGGGACCGTGTTCGCCATCCTCCTCATTAGCAGGTGAGAGCGCATGCAGAAACACAACCGCTGGGCGCTGCAGACACACAGCTGTCTCAACAGGCGGGGTGCATAATCAAGTCACGTCACATTCTAATTTGCAGCAAACACCGACACTTTGCAGGGGGAAGATGGAGAGGCGCCCTCTATCTCGTCTTATCTTGGTCGTATCATTTTCTCCTCAGCCATCAATACTCGTTAACAGCTCCCCACGCGTCAGACTAGAAATCATTGAAATGTCATCGCCACAGTGAAGGGCGCCGCTGAGCGGAGCAGTTGGAGCAGGATCCAGCACCGCATGTATCAGTCGTCGAATGCAATTGGTGTTATAATCCCCACAGAGGCCGCACGGCGAGAATGATAGGGATGTTTTTTTGGTGCACTTTTGTCTGTCACCGTGACAGAGGAGCCTCTCCTCTTCTCGCAGTTTATTTTTCAAAGCACCGAAACACACTTTGCACATTTCAGATAAGGCAAACCCTCGGGGTCTCGCCGAATCCCGCTGTAGGACATTCTCTTTATATTCTCTCTTCTTTTTTTTTTTTGCACAATCAGCTGCGGGATTAATGTGCTGGAGCAGGTTGCATGCCGCACTGGTATGTTTTTAGTATAAACGTCATATGCCGGACCATTTCATGAATCTGTGAGCTTTTCAAAGATGCGAGGCGGATTACTTTAGAGGTGATCATTGTTTGTATGATTAATGATCTGTAGTCACTGCACTGTGGACATTAGCCAACGCTGCCTTCAGAAAATACAGCTGTACAAGTCATCTCTGTTCTTCATCAATTAGTTAAAAAATGTTATTTTAATGTGAAAATATAACTTTAACTTTCATCCTACCAACATATTTAACATACAAGGCGACCAACTGGGGTCCCCGAGGAAACTACTGTAACAAACAACCGTTGTAGCGAAATTATATTTCTTCCCAAAACATTGTTAGTTATGTAATTAATGTCATCTGAAGAAAAAAACCGAACAGATTGTCATTATTATTTTAGGAAAGTTGCAGTTAATTTGCATATTGCGTAAACAAAAATAGACACTTCAAAATCACTGACAGAGTGTCGCTGATCGTGTGTGATACTTCAAAGGAAGGCCTGTGCATGAACATGAACATGAACTCAATAAAAAAGTTCTAAGTTCTAAAAAAGAGTAATCGCTTTGACTTAAGGTTTGCAGCATTTCAGCGTCATATGTTCGCATGTATGTAGGACAGACTTTGACTCGGACTCCCATTTGTCCATGAACTATATTGAGAAGGAGAATTTTAGGATATTTTATTTGAGTCATTTTGCAAAGTATAAGTGCCCTTTCATCAGCATGCCACATTACCTCTTTCCCAGCCATTGGCGGTTGCACGGTCTGTTATTTACGGTGATACGGTCATTTTTATCCCCACCCGCGAAGACCCGCCCTACTCTGCCTCTGATTGGCTAGTGCTCTTTCCCTTCTTCGCAAGATTTGTTCAGTTGATTGCTGATGAACACGATTGGTGGAAGGTTGGTAGGGTGATTTCATTTGAGATGTAAATTTCTGATGTTTTCATAATGATGGCAGCCGTCTTGTATAGAGATTTAAAAATGTTTCTATGCACTGTCTATACTATACTATGCAGTATCTTTGCGTATGTGGATGGGATAGGATTACAGATCTGTTGGAGATTTAGTCTCGATGTGGTGTCGTAAACAAACTTAATGTTAACCTTAATGTGGATTTGGCAAACTGCATAACGAGAACATTTAAAAATGGCACTTGCTTAAGCCTGGTATATGCTATCGAAGGAGAAAATCCTGTATGACCTCTAATTCTGTTTTCAATTCCAGATCTATACATTATTACCACAAATGCACCACAATGTAATAAATCAAAATCCTGTCTTCTTTTTTATCTGGTGTGTTTAGTGAACTAATCGTGTGTAATGTGATGATGGAAATCCAATGATTGCAAATGGTAACAAACAACACAGTGTGTAATTGATATGAGCTGCGTGATATGAAGACCCTGGGAAAGTAGATTTATCGTGGCCTGGAGCCCATCAGCACACCGTGTCAGCATGAGGTGTTCAGCTCCGGAGGCTTGATAGCCTCGGTGATTTAGTGATTAGGAAAACGCCGCTCTGCCAGTGGAATACAAATGCGCTATACAGCCATTTTCACCAGCACAAGCGGCGCCATTATTGACCGAGCGGTTTTATGAAGACGACCCATGACCTTGACAATGCTGAAAACTGCCAGGACCCTCACCTCGTAGTGAGCAAAGAGCTCGTAGAGGGTCGAGAGAGTCGCACATTCATCCAGCAGAAAAAGACTCACGGGGACACAAATGCCCCGCTTGGACTCGGTGGAAAGACGGATGTCCCGCTTTATGTTGAGGATACAGTATTATTACCAACAATGCAGCAGAATTCAATAATGACACAATGGCAAGTGCTTGAGTGTCAATTCAGCCTCAGAACAAACCTCCTCTCGTGATCCTGTGGCGCTCGGTGAAAACCCTGGCAGAAGAGAAAAAGAACAAAGTATAAAATTCAAGAGGATCAAATATAAAAAAAGATAAAAAATAGACTAATTTTTATATGAGGCAGTCAGCCATAATACGTATTTACTGATGCAGCCAACACACATTTACTTTTTTACCTGTTGAATTTCCTGCTCTAAACTTAGCTAGATGTTCACATCGAGGCTGGTGTCTTTTGCAAGAGAGATAAAAGATGCAGAGACTGGCAAAGTATTTCATTCCTGAAACAAAAACACAAAATAAATGTGGCTTTTGTAATATCTAATTCACCTTTGCTTTGTTGCTGTTGCTACCCCTGTCAAGCTTGTTTTTTCTGTGAAGGTCTTGCACATCTTTTATGCAGTTTACAATTATAACGGTTGCAGATTCACAACTCTCAATCATTTGCTCTTTTTTAAACAATTGGTAACACAGAGACGGATACAGGAAACAAGGGTAAGTTCAAAAGCAAAGTCTTTACTGAGAAAGCGGGCAGTTAAACACCGGGGGACAGTCGAAACAAAGCAAACGAATCCAGGCAGAGAGTATAGGAAAAAAATCCAGAAACCTGAGAAACGGGCAAAGTCAAAAAAATGTATTCTATATCCTATAACACTTCTGCTCTCGAGTTTCTGGTGGTGGAAAGGCTTTAAAAAAAAAAACGCCATCTTTCAAAACACTTCAAATGCCAATCGTTGCTCTTACTGATGCGTAATGCTTGCCGTAGCCGAGTCTTTGTAATTGTCTTTGTTAAAACAAACACAGGGTATGAAATGCACGCATTTACAATGTTGTAACGAAACGTAACTGCGTCCCTCTGCAAGTCATCTATAAACCCAGGCAGCAGCATCAAAGGATTGATTTCTATTTTAATCTCTCTCAATAGAAGCTTAGTAACATAAAGTTACACCGTAGGACTGCATCTAGGAAGTGATGGTTTGACAGCACCGGTTACAGAAAGCATGGATAAAAAACACTTCTGAAGCCTATTACAGGCAGATTAAAGGCTTACAGTACGCCTTTACTGGAGAGACACTACTTAGTCCTGTATAGAACTCTATTCCATGTCAGCTTTTAAAAAAAAAAAAAATGTTTTATTGATTGTCAGTGGAGAGATAAGCATACCCCTGTGCTCAGATGGTTACGTGACTGAATTGTCTCAAACCCACACAAAAGTGAACATGAGGACAAAATAACTGGCTTGAGAGTTTATTACACCATGCACTATGTTAAAAGGGAATAAGTAGTGTTTTTAGTGTCACTTATTTAGATGATGTTTATCATGTCTTTGAGGAGTTGTTAAAGTTGTTGAATAAAAGGATTTTTGGGTTTGGGGGAAGCGTATTACATTTTCACCAATAACACAGAATCAGACAATGTCTCTGCAAGCCGTTTGAAGCCATGTTGAACTGTGAGCCTCCGGGAGACTACAAAAAAACTGAGATTGGCACGTTGATTTGGAAGAGTGATGCTCAATTTGACTTCGTCTGACAAGTCAATGCTTGAGGCTGCTCACGCTGATGGCACTTGTCAAGGGTTACCAAAATATAACACCACTGACACGTCGGAGGCGATGCCACGGCCCATTGAATGCCCGACTGAAAGCCCAAAAACACACATAACATCTGACTTCAGCTCTCACACTAAAGTGGGTTGAAACCCTCAGCCTTGTTGCCGTTATTGCAGCTGTTGCCATAGAAACGCTAGATAGCCGATGTTATCCACGGGTTTGTCGGTGATTTAACTAAAAGCTTCCAGGTTTGTGAGAAAATAAGAGCTACAGTTTCTAACAGTTGAAGAACTTCCTAGACAGGTCAAAGAAGAATCTTTAATAAAGAATATTTGAGCTTTTTTACTCAGAGTTAAATAAGGAGGCAATTGAGGTTCTTTTTAATTTCACAAGATCCTCTTTTGTCTTTCCTACAGCGACTGTCAGAAATTCCCTTTTCCTCGCCTATTTTGAAATCCATCATTTATCATTTTCTGCAGCAGAGAGAACTGAGAACCAGTTTTTCATGTTCATTAAGTTTAATTGTAGCTCCCCTATCTGGAGCAATATCTCGTCTCTGTTGGGTTTCTCTGCCATTTCCATTTTTACAGCGGTTTGTCATGACACCATTGCCCCTTTTATTTTTTCCCCCTCTGCGAGACATTTTCTCGTTAGAGACCCTGATTATTCTACACTGTTCAACTTTCTCAACCACAGCGCTGCGCATGTTTATTGGCCTCTTTATTTCTGTGAGAGCAACTCATAACAGTTTACTGGGTGTCAAAAAAGAGTGTTGAGATCCCAGGAAAGCTGCCTTAAATGAAGGAATACAGTTCGATATGAAAGTAGGCTAAAGGGACAAAAAGCATATAAGAGTAAAGGATGAAATCTAATAATCATTTTAAAGCAAGTATGTATAACATAAGAATAATGAAGTGATTTAACAAATGTAAAACTGACAATAATAATGTATGTGTAACTGAGTAAAGTGAAGTCTGTATGTGGGTGGAAA